GGTATGGTCATCCTTAAATAAAACAAGGAAACCATAAAGGGAGTTAACCATTGTTACAACCGTTTTTATTTATTTCCTTTACTAAAAACGGATATCACAAAGGGAGTTAACTGTTGGTCTAAGCTTCCTTAAGTAAACACCCAGTGAGTTAGACCTTCCTCTGGGCTTTCTTGACTGTATGACACTGCTCTAAATAGTACAGCGAAATAGGAAGAAGTGACATTCCGGTTGATAAAATTCTTTACCTTTCAGGGTTCAGTGTCTCCAGATTAATTTTCTTTGGATGGTTTCCAACTTTTCAAGCTAGCTAATCTACACTTGTAGGTATTTATTTGGCTATTCTCGTTCTTTCTAATTTATTTTTTACAATGACAAATCCTGTCTGCTGATATTTATATCCCAGTTAAGAAATTATTCTATTTATCTGTAATGAAAGCTTTTGTGATTGTATGAAATAAGACCAATATATGTGAAATTAGACACATACATAAAATGTTGATGAACATCCGTATGATAATACAAGGACCTGATAGGTTTTGTAAATATTATCAAAGATTTTTTTCTAAATATCACACCATATGATGAAGCTGATTGGTGTTTCATGGTGACAGCAAAATCCTGGAGTTCAATAATCATGACCTATGATTTCATTTTCCAACAATTTCTAATCAATGCACTTGCATTCCTCTATACAAGTCCTGCCTTCTGATTGGTGGGTCATGATCATCATACATGTATGCTGCACAGGCAACTTCCAGACACTACGTACAACCTAGGACAGGGTAAGCACAGTACAGATTGACACATACATGCACTATTTATGTAGATATACCAGGTAAAAAAATAGTTTTGTTTGTGGTAGTTATAGACAGGTGGTATATATAGACAGGTGGTAGTTATAGACAGGTGGTATTAATAGACAGGTGGTAGTAATTGACAAGTGGTAATTCTAAACAGATGGTATATATAAACAGGTGGTATATATAGACAGGTGGTAGTAATAGACAGGTGGTATATATAGACAAGTGGTAGTAATAGACAAGTGGTATATATAGACAGGTGGAATACATAGACAGGTGGTAGTAATAGACATGTGGTATATATAGACAGGTGGTAGTTATAGACATGTGGTGGATATAGACAGGTGGTAGTTATAGACAGTTGTTATATATAGACAGGTGGTAGTAATAGACAGGTGGTGGTATGTATAGACAGGTATTAGCTATAGACAGGTGGTAGTTATAGACAGGTGGTAGCTATAGACAGGTGGTAGATAAAGATAGGTGGTAGTTATAGATATGTGGTAGTTATAGACAGGTGTTAGCTATTGACAGGTGGTAGTTATAGACAGGTGGTAATTATAGACAGGTGGAAGTTATAGACAGGTGGTAGTTATAGACAGGTGGTAGCTATTGACAGGTGGTAGTTATAGACAGGTGGTATTTATAGACAGGTGGAAGTTATAGAGGTGGTATTTATAGACAGGTTGTAGATGAAGACACATTATAGAGAGGGGGTATTTATAGACAGGCAGTAGTTATAATACACAGTTGGTAGTTATAGACAGGTGGTAATTATAGACAGGTGGAAGTTACAGAGAGGTGGTATATATAGACAGGTGGTAGTTATAGACATGTGGTAGATATAGACAGGTTGTAGTTATAGACAGTTGGTATATATAGACAGTTGGTATATATAGACAGGTGGTTGTCATAACAGGTGGTAGTAATAGACAGGTGGTTGTATATATAGACAGGTGGTAGATTAATAGACAGGTGGTAGTTATAGACAGTTCGTATATATAGACAGGTGGTAGTAATAGACAGGTGGTATATATATACAGGTGGTAGTAATAGACAGGTGGTATATATATACAGGTGGTAGTAATAGACAGGTGGTATATATAGACAGGTGGTAGAAATAGACAATTGGTATATATAGACAGGTGGTTATAATAGGTGGTAGCAGTTGACAAGTGGTAGTTCTAAACAGATGGTAGATATAAATAGAAAGGTGGTATATAATGGTAAGTGGTAGTTAAAGAAAGGTGGTATGTAAGGCAGAATTTACTTGTTCTTTTTTTATTGTACCAAAAATTGTATGGTAATAAAATATTTACAGACATGAATTGCCTAAGAAATCTGTATCCAATTTACTATTACATAATATATTTTACACGACAGTTATGTAACCACGGGACAGATTTAACCCATAATCTATGATTTTACAGGTGTCCAATAAATGATAAAATAAATGTCACACAGAATTCTTGAGGATTATAGATTCAGATTGAACTGAGGATAATTCCTCCCTGATGGAATTGGAAACTTTTTTGTCTCATGTAGGCTGTAACAGAGGAAATACATCAAATTCTTTCTATCTAAAGTTTTGGTTGATGGTCATATTTTGAATATTCTGTGGCACAATGAGTTATTTCGGGTGCCTTTTATATATGTGCTTGGTTGTAAATGATTGATTTTCATGGCCATATATTGTAGATAGTACAAAATGATTGATCTTCATGGCCAAGTATATATTGGACTAGGATTACAGTTTGACAATTCACTCACAGAATCAATGGTGTTTACCCACAATTCAACTCAGGCAAATTATAAAAAAAACATAAAGTTGTCTCAATCTGAACTCTTAAAATGCTAAGAAGGCATTTTACTACAAAACAACCTTCCAAGTGCAGTATTTGATTCAAGTTTTATTTAAGCATCAAGTTGTTTTCCGACTCTGTTAGCTAGGGCTTCGTCTGTCAGATGAAGCCGTTTAAACCTGGAGCTTGGAGAACTTTGATTGCGATCAGCGGCTCTAATCACCATTAACATTGCCGTTGATAGTGCATGTCACAGTCGTAGAAAACTATCAGCCATCTTTATTTTCTTAAGATCACTATATCTTTGAAAAATGTTCCATACTACAAACTCAAATATATTGTAAAATTTCTTTCCATCTGTCGCAATTGATTCTAGCTCGTTTTCTTCAAATTTACCTATAAAATATTTCAAGTTTTGTTGAAATCTAACTGAAATTGTTTCAGATCCATTCAAAACAGCAGAATGTAAACTTTTTGCATCCTAAATCATCTGTGTGTGTTACTGTCAAACTTATATTGGAGACGCTGCCTATAGCTATCACTGCTTTTTATTGTGCATTATGTTTGAAGGATATGAAATTACAAAATGCTGTCAAAATCTGCTGGGACTATAGAAAACTTAAATTTAAATATAAACAGAAATAAATTGCTATGAGACCAAATGCTACGGGTATCATTAACTGGATACAAAGTTTCCAGAAAAAAATAACAAATGATATCAAGTTATTCAAGTGAGATATCAAAACAGCGTTTAAACTTATTTGAGAGAGACGTCATAACAAGGTATTGAGTTATCTGAGTGAGATATCAAAACGGGGTATCAAATAATTCAAGTGCAATATAATAACAGGGTATCAATTAAGTTATTGAGTGAAATATTATAATGGGGCATATACAGTTATCTTAGTGAGATATTTAAATGGGGTATCAAGTTATCTGAGTGATATATATTATAATGGGGTATCAAGTTATCTGAGTGAGATATTAAAATGGGGTATCAAGTTATCTGAGTGACATATTATAATGGGGTATCAAGTTATTTGAGTGATATATTGTAATGGAGTATCAAGTTATTTGAGTGATATATTATCATGGGGTATCAAGTTATCTGAGTGATATATTATAATGGGGTATCAAGTTATTTGAGTGATATATTGTAATGGAGTATCAAGTTATTTGAGTGATATATTATCATGGGGTATCAAGTTATCTGAGTGATATATTATAATGAAGTATCACGTTATCTGAGTGATATATTATAATGAAGTATCACGTTATCTGAGTGATATATTATAATGAAGTATCACGTTATCTGAGTGATATATTATAATGAAGTATCACGTTATCTGAGTGATATATTATAATGAAGTATCACGTTATCTGAGTGATATATTATAATGAAGTATCACGTTATCTGAGTGATATATTATAATGAAGTATCAATTTATCTGAGTGGTATATTATAATGGGGGATCAAGTTATCTGAGTGATATATATTATAATGGGGTATCAAGTTATCTGAGTGATATATATTAAAATGGGGTATCAAGTTATCTGAGTGACATATTATAATGGGGTATCAAGTTATATGAGTGATATATTGTAATGGAGTATCAAGTTATTTGAGTGATATATTATCATGGGGTATCAAGCTATCTGAGTGATATATTATAATGGGGTATCAAGTTATCTGAGTGATATGTTATAATGGGATATCAAGTTATCTGAGTGATATATTATAATGGGGTATCAAGTTATCTGAGTGATATATTATAATGGGGTATCAAGTTATCTGAGTGATATATTATAATGGGGTATCAAGATATTTTAGTGATATATTATAATGGGGCATACAGTTATCTGAGGAGATATTATAAGGAAGTATCACGTTATCTCTGAGATAAAATAGGGTATCAATGTCATCCAAAAGATGTATGGTAACATTGTTATGAAGTGTTTCTAACTAAGTATCAAGTTATTCAAGCGAGAAAAAATGGAAAGCATATTCATAATCTAACAGGAAGGTCATTTTTGAGATTGAATCACGATTATCGGATGAAATACTTTGTTCAATCACATTCAGATTTATAATGTCACGTAAGCGTTATTGTGTAAGTTAGGCAACACTCTGGGGGGTGACTTTACTATTGATAGCCACTGACTGGCATTCCAATACGCCTGTTCAAACATTGAACAGACGTCTCGAAGTGTTCGAGACGGAGTTCGTATATGACAGTTCTGTGTGCTGAAGGTGAAATCGTAAAGAATGGAATTATAAGCCACACAATAGCTCGGTCCTACCTTTAGGTTTGGGTGTGGGATACGCTCATTATCCTATTCATTCTGTTCAATGAAATTACAAAAGGATAGACAATGTAGGTAACAATTATTTATTTCACATGACTGACTTTGAGATTGGCAAGAACATTGTCGTTTTAAAGTTGGTGTCCCTATCAGTTTACAGGTACTTCCTGTCTCGATACCGACATTACCAGTCGGGTAATCAGGCACCTGAGGAAGTTGATCCTGCTGGTCGTACCTGTGGTCGGTGAATAGCGGATTCAGTGTGCTTTTATATACACACATCCAGTTAACACAGACATAAGCTCATGTGCTTTGTAAGGACGAACGTTTTTTTAAATATTCAATTGGATTTATTCGTCAAGTTAAATGAAAAAACGGTTCAACACAAAGGTGAGTCAGGATGTTTATTTCAAAATATTACAGGTTCCTGATAGAATGTCAATGTCTATGGATATTGAATAAGTACATAGAAGTGGTTTCATTATAAAATGTGGTTTTGGACTGATGCACATACATCTTTACATGAAGTTGTATATGCCTGAATATGATAGCTAGTTTATTAACTTTGTACAATACTTTAGTTCTTATGATGTAGGGTGATCTTGTACAACTCCTAATCTCTATCAGTGTGTTGACCTTGTAAATCTCATCTCTATAGATATAATGACCTTGTACTAATCAAATCCTAGCCCTATAAAAGTATGTTGACCTTGTAAAACACAAAACTCTATAAATATGTTGACTTTTTTAAACTAACCTTTATGAATATGATGACCTTGTACAGTTCAATATCTCTATAAGTATGTTAACCTTGTACAGTTCAATATCTCTTTAAGTATCTTGACCTTGTAAAACTCACCTCTATAAATAGGATGACCTTGTACAACTCAAAATCTCTATAAATATGTTGACCTTGTAAAACTCACCTCTATAATATGATGACCTTGTACAGTTCAATATCTGATAAGTATGTTGACCTTGTAAAACTCACCTCTATAAATAGGATGACTTTGTACAACTCAAAATCTCTATAAGTATGTTGACCTTGCACAAGACATCTCTACAACCATCTCTATATACATGTGTGTTGACCAGGCTGTTGTACATAGTATGATACCTTCATCTCATTTTTTGTTGACCTTGGTTTTGTAATGTACATGATATTGTATAATACCTTATGTAACACTGTATATCAGGTTTTTGACAAATTCATAATAAAAAATTTGCATTCTTTCTGCATCTGAGTGTTCAGAAATGTGCATTTGATATTTTTTGCAGTTTCAAAAACTTACGAATAAAGTTTAGATTAGATGCTGATAAAGTATACAAGATTTATACAGTATGCACTCTAGAGTAATGGTTTGATTGATGTACGTTTGTGACATGTCATCAGCATGTTGTTATATAACGGTGTGTATGATTATACATGTGACGGCATCGTAAAGGTCAACATTAGGATCAACTGCATATAGGATCAACTGCATACATAAATGTATAAAACCAATATCAGTTTTACAACATTTTTAATTATAATTTCTAATTTGTCATTGTGACAGGCTTGAAGTATGATGTAACATTATGAGATTTAAGTGCAGCCAGGATTTGTACCAACATGACCATGCATTGTTTCTAACCGCTGGTAGTCAGTCAGTCTGAGTCAGTGAAAGGCTTGGGTCAGACACATCATGTCATGTCAGGGATTTAACTAAATGTTTTGACCTGTCAGGTTATATTATCGTTGTAGCAAAAATAATATTTTGATGGGATACAATGATGTTTGCAAAGCATCAATTTGATATGTTTTTGAAACAAAGCCAAATTTTTGGTTGTTGACTGTACATCATATATGTCTGTCAAAGTTTTCAGTAGTTGAATAATAATATTGATTATGCACTTAAAACAGTTGTATTTTTGATATTAGATATATTTCTAGGGAATTAGTTGAAATGGAATATCTGTCATGTTTGGAAGAAATTGTTGACCAAATAGAACAAATCTACTTTCCATTTAGAGTCCATCAATTCATGTTGTCACATGACTTTTTAGAAGTCTGACTCAAATAGCAATTTTGATTGTATTATTTTTATATTTTAACAACATGTGAAAGTGCATGTAATTGGAACTCTTTTGCTTGTGAGGGAGAAACTTCTGTAACAGTTTTATTTAAGGTCTCCTTTATTATGCGAAATACGACATGTACTTCAGCTCTCAGGGGTAATTGTGCTAAGGTTGAAGGCACGACCATGACTTGCATATACTTAGTTATTTAGCTATTCAATAAAATGTATTCACTAAGGTTTCGCTAGTATATGTCCTAAAGTGAAATTGCCGTTTGACATTATTGAAATTCTCCTACAGGAGTGAAATCTTCTGACACAATATCTCTAATCATTGCAAGATCAGGAAGGTTGTTACAATATTACGCACAAAAGATTATTTTTTGTATCTGATTGTCGAAGGATTAGAAATACAATCACCAAGTATTAGCTTTAAAGGTTAATTTGATTCTATCATATGCTAAAACCAGAACATTCAGTGGAGCAATATTCATAGTATAAAGGTGACAGGGTGCTGGCTTGTAATGTTGGTGTAGAGAAATTATAGGACATTTACATGTGTGATTAATGGGGAGGGAATTTGAAAGGTACCCTGCTGGGAATGAAATATTTATTTCCATATTTAGCCACGAGGATGAAATAACAGACTAAGAGAGGACATTTTTGTGTGTAAGTTCAATTACTGTAGTGTAGACAGGAAGATGTGGCATTTTCATAGAATAAGACCTTTGACTAGCACCTGGTAGACGTTGGAGAGGAGGCCTCGGCAGAGCGGTCTGAGACCAACGACTAGAGGATGCTTTGATCTAATAGGTCCTTTTAAGAAATCACAGACAGCAAGTATGTCACTTAATGGAAGTTTGTAGTCAGCACATCGCAGCATTAATGTGTTTTGACTTTTTCCACTTATTAGCCAGCCACCAAAACCATATATATAAAAACATTGAGGCAACTTTGTGCAACTCATTGGATAGGGCATTTTAAGTATATAAAAAAGGATACTTAACAAAAAGGTGATATGTAATGTTTATAATTCTGTAAGAGAATGCCGTTTAGAAAAATTCCAAGGACACTGCAAAAATTCATGGTAAGAGGGCGGAGTGGATGTTAAAATATTTAACAGTCTGTTTGCAGAACAAATGTTTTCAGATATGAAGTGGGTTGTAGCCATTAGAGGCTTTGTTTAGATTTCTCCAAGGTGGAGTGTAGCAGAGTGGTGATGTATAGCGACAAAAGGCAATACTTCATTTAGGAAATCCAATTAAATTAGTTTACATATTGATAAGAACATTGAACTTGATCAATAGCAGATCCCTTTAAGAGTCTGCTCTGGCACTTGTAAGCCGACAATGCCTTTCATCAAAGTGTGGCAGAAAGTTTAAAACCGAGGTGCCCTGTGATTTAACATCACAATCAAGTACATTTCAATTGGTTGCCATAGCAAATACCATCAAATGTCTCAATTCTGGTCTGCTGAGCGATGGGAAGGAACGATAAGGACCTCTTTTGCTCAACTTGCTGTGACATTAGAATGGATTACTATTGTCACCCCGACTATAATGTAATATGGCGAGGTAACCACATTTAACAACGGCAAGATGACATTTTTCATTGCTGTCAAATGTGCTTGGCTATAGACACTTATGTAATCAGTTGTAGATATAAGATTTATCCTAGTCAAGTTTGCTGATATCTGTCAAACAGCCTCGCTGATGACATGTCTGACAAACATTTAGCACAGCAGGCGAAATGGCCCAGAAGCTTTTGTAGATCATCATATATCTTGGTTTTAAAATGGTTTTACAATCATTTTTCTGTGAATTGAACAAGTCATAAAGTCAGATTCTCTTGTACAGAATTTTACCCACAAGATGGATATGTAAAAGTTAGCACCCTGTACAAATTTGCATTACTAGAAAGTAATGCAGAAAAGACGGATATTATATAGGTTTACACTACAACATGGCTGGTAAAGAGTACTGTGTATGTCACAGAACATCATGTCACAATGTCATGTGACCGGAATCATTCCGTAGTTATAGCTTTCATGCTTCTGTAATGACGAAATTCTGCCATAGCAGGCGAGGAACCTCTGACAAATGCGCCTCCAGGTGGCCCTAAGATGATACACTGCCTGAGACTGATGTGCCTCCAGTAAAAATATGCGAAACTCTTGAGACACATGACACATGGACAAGGACAAAGGATTGGGTTCCAGCTGGGGGAAATGTCTTCCATAAAAATTCTAATGCTCTAATGTAATTTCCCCCCAAAGTTGTGGAGAGACAGTGGATCACCACTTGGTGCTCATGTGACACACAGAGTTGTAATGGGGGGGGGGGGGGGGGGTTGTTGTTGATCGGGGAAGGGTACTGGCATAAAATTATTTCTCAAATTGAATAAACATGCCTATTTAGAGGGTTGGCATTGTCGTATTTAGCATCCCTTGGAGACATTCATTGCCTTCCTGTACTGACTCGGTGAACCTGATAGTCAACCTTATAACCATCACATTGAGTTTCCCTATGGTTCATGACAAAAATAAATACCCAAGAAGACCTGACCAGATTAACCTTCAAATTTTGGTCCAACTAATCTGTAATAGACATGGTGCCTAGCTAACAGACTCCGGCCAGACGGCCAATCAGTTGGCAGACAGCTTATCGTGGAAAGCCAGGTAGTGTATTAATTATGTATGTCTTGGTCGTAAGACTGATCGACTATCACCACATTACCATAATCATTTGAAATAATCTACAAAGGATGTACAGAACACATTGTATGTCAGAGAGAGGTTATTGTGGCACCTTTTGTCAAGCAATTTAAATGTAATGGAATCAAACTTGTATTAGACCTTTACTACCTAAAGGGGACTTGTGACAATAATCCTGAGTGAGGTAGTGTGTTACCTTTTCATACCTAGTTTAGCCCGTTAAATGTTTGTTGACCATTCATGGTTTGGTGTTGATCACCATTCATAGTTCCCAGTTGACGTGCGTAAACAACCAGCTGGGGTGTCAATACTATTACACCTTGTACCTTTTAGTACACACATACCTATGGTCAACACACAGGTAAGCTAGTGGGTCAAAGGTCACACTTGGTTGGGCAGTTACACATTGAGTCACCACTGAATATAAACACATTGACAGGAATTCCCACTCTGAAATCTATCTCTAAAGGTATGTGGACATTTGGGATGGTACATTGACATCCTGTTGGGTAGGTAAATATCACAAATCAACAGGTAGGCTGGATTTAAACACCTTACATCAGGTAGGTAATTAGTTCTGTGTTCATCATTATTTCAGATAAGGACTGTATTTTATCTGT